CTTCTTCTTCTTCCTCTCATTCGTCTTCTTCCTCTCCTCCTTCTTCTTCTTCCTCTTCTTCCTAGACCTGAAAATAATGCTTCTTCCTCTTTCGCCTCGTCCTCGGCTGCTTCTTCTCCTTCTCCTTAATCTTCTTCTTCTTCTTCTTCTTCTTCTTCTTCTTCTTCTTCTTCTTCCTACCTATAGACCTGAAAATAACTGCTTGCTTCTGCTCGGTGTCGTCTCCCTTATATACTTAGCTGGCAACCCTCCCCCCCCTACGGCTGTTTCAGTCGGTGGTGCAATCCGTTACCGCCGGTACCACGATGACTCACCCGATGTCGCAACCCGTGGCTGGCACGGATTATTGCATCATTTTATGCAACCCGTTTCTGAGTAAATATTCCTTGTTTTCGCCCGACAGGCAGCAGCACCAGCAGTAATAGCCTAATCCAAGATGGCCGCGCCCAGGTGTCAATATTTACATGCTGTCTATATTTTATCCGGCCTTTAGTCTATATATATGGTTATTCTCTCTCTACGGTGAGTTCAGTCTGTGCATCCTGATCTAGTCTACTACTCCTGTAAGTTACACACCCCCGAAATCTCCACAACTCCCCCCAACTCCTTTTAGTATTCGCCCTCGGATACGCCTTCGTCTCCCCCAACGTGTCCGCGAAATGAAACTTCTGTTTTATGTAATTATATCTACTATATTAAATCTTACAAAGGATATACATATGTCCTGTAATAAAAATCCCTAAATGATGAGTCGATGACGTCCTGTCCACCTAAACAAAACAAAACAAAACGATGGCTCCTTCCCTACAAATCCATCCTCTGTGGTGGTTTGCGGGCTCTCTTCCCCCGCCTCAACTTCTCCTCGGCCTTCTCCTTTTCCTTTCTCGACTCGCTCCTACTTCCGACTGTTTTAACCTTCCCCTTTTCAACCCTTTTCCAGGTTGCCTCCGAGCACAGACAGTGCAGTACTGGCACCATCTCTCGATATCCTTCGTGTAGTTTGGCCAGTAGAACCGTTGCTGAATGCTGGATCTACTCCGCTTCCCTCCTTGATGTCCTGCTGTACGATGGTAATGTAATTGCTGAAATATTTCTCTTTGTAATTCCTTAGGTATCACCAACTGAAGTATGGGATGAGTCGGCGTGACCGGCGTCTCCCATCGTCTATACAATTTACCTTCCTGCACCTCTAACTGATTCCACTGCCCCCAGTACGCTTTCGCCTCCGATCCCATTCCTGCAATTTCTGCAAACTCAGGTCTGTCCAACGCCGCTTCTTTTCGTTCCTTGAAGAAAACAATTGCAGGGTCCTTATCCTGTAATCTCCTAATATTTTCCGGGTTATATACATCATGGTCTTCCCCCTGATCCTCGGGATTCTCTCTGCGATCCTCTCGCTCTCCCTCGGTCACTACTAACACCTGCCCACGCTGCTCCTTATCCTCACATGAAGAACCGTCTCTCCTCCCATTACGACTGGGTGGTTCATATCCCCATGTAGAATCCTCTGCTCCCCTACTGCAGCTGGGTGGTTCATCGCTACTACTTTCCTCATCTTCTTCCTCCTGAACGTGCGTTTCCTCTTCCTCTGAGTGCATCTCCATCGCTGGTCGGGCCTCCGCTCCCATCATTCCATGCCTGCTATCTGGGCAGTTCTCGTTCGGGCATTTCCCTACTGTCTTACGTGACAACGCATCCGCATTCTGGTGATGCTGTCCCTGCTGTGTCTCACTCTCCTCCACTGGTTTGAGTTTCCCCACTTGCCGATCCTCCTCCGATATACCTGTATGGGAGATAACCAACGGTACCTTCATCACATCCCTTGGGAATACCGTCTGCTCCATCCGAATCTCCTGTGCCTCCAGCTTCTGAAATTCATCCACGTATACTGGTCTACCATTCTCTCCCCCTGTCCAAAATCCTTGAATCTTTCTCCCATCGAGTGATAGTATTCCTGTAGCAATTTTCAGGATAGCATTGTTTGGGACGAGAAAGTCGAGTCCCAAAATCCCATCTAAATCCTCTAATTGTGCAATAACCATTGTTTTCCTATTGTAGGTATGCTCGGCGATTTCTAGACGGACAACAGTCTCTCCAGGACTATTCATTGCTTCGCCGTTCGCCATCTTCAGATCCCTCTTTCTCGTTATCAGCTGTAGCCCTGTACTTGCTTTGATGTCGTTGAACCCTATCTTCATTTATCAGCGTCGTACTCGATCCGCTGTCTACTAAAATTGTTATGTCACATCCCTCTACTTTCACAGGTATTATCCATGTGGAATGACACTGCAATGGTGCTACGGAGATAGTAGGTATCCGTGTGGCTGCAGCCTTGCCTGAGCTATTTTCTCTATTTATCGGTATCTTAATCCCTACGTGTTTTCCTGCATCATCGCCTTCTTCTATCTTCTTCACTATTCTGTCTGAGAAAGTGTGAAACCAGTAGATTGTGGTGTAGCTCCCTCAGTCGGCTTATTATGGGCCAGCTAGGCTACCTACTCTTTTCCTAGCCCGTCCTAGTTTAACAGTCGCTGACTCCTGTTCGTTGTGCGCGATTATCTGAAACATTGCCGCATTGCAATCGTCGCGGGCAATCTCTCTGCATGTGTCCCGTTCTCCTGCAAAAATAACATTCTATCTCAGCTATTCTTGCCCTATTCGGTGGAGGCCTTGCCATTCTGCTGAATGGTGCATTATGCATTCTTTCTCCCGACCTTTGCCCTCTGCCTCCAGCTTCTGCTGTATGTTGTTGCCTTTGACCTTCCATGTCCTTCCTGATCTTAACCATTCCCTGTTTCAGGCTTCGCATCTCTTCGTACATCGCTTCCCATCGACTTGACACTGGATCCACTGGCTGCATCGCAGCTCGTACATAAGTGCTTCCACCTGGTGGCGGTTTTCTACAATTTACCGTTTCTCTTGTAACGGCCTCATACTGCGCTACCCGAGCTATAGCCTCGTCTAGCGTGCTTGGTCCTTGCAAGAGTGCGTAGCGTTGTATTTCCGCATCTCTTATTCCTTCCAGGTATTTATCTATCAAGATCTGCTCCGTCTGATGACCTATCATGCCAGGGTACGCCCGCGTGAACAACTGCCGCATGACAGCGCCATACTCCTCGGCCGTTTCGTCATACCTTCTGCTCCTACGGCGTAGCTCACTCCAATAAACGTGGATGCGCTCTACCGGATCGAACCTGCGTTGCAAACAGGCAACCATCCTGTCGTAGTCAGCACGCTGTGATCGTGGCATCCTTATCATCACCTCTAAAGCTTCACCCTCCAAGCATAATCCTAATTGAATTCCCCATCCATTCTCTGGCCACTGATTGTAACTAGCCGTCATCTCGAACTTTATCAAGAAGTGCTTTAGGGCAATTCCATCTCCCTTCCTAAAGTTTGGAGGCTTTCGTTCCTTTACAGGTGTACTGCGCCACGGACTTCTCTCACGTGCTAAAGGCAGGTCCTGCATCGACTCCCTCCTTGTGTACGGCATATCCCTAACCGGAGCCGTATCTCGTGCAGGTGCATGTGAAATTTCTGCTTCCCTGTCAAGTGCGAAATCAAAATTCATACTACCGTTCTCTGTCTCTTTCAGAATGCTGCCGTGCCGTTCGATCGGACTTCCCCAGTTTCTCTGTAAGCTTTCCTGGCTTACTCCAGCGTGGGGTAGGGGTGTGTGGTATCTCGGTCCCCTTTCTTGTTCATTTTCTTCCCAGCTTTCCTGCAATCTTCTCTCCGATCTTGTTATCTTCTCCCTATAATCCCTGGCTGCCTCCTGAAATATCTTCCTGTCCCTAGAAGCTTCCTCCGGGGTGGATACGCCATCGTGAATGATCGTCGGTACCTGTCCCTTTCTGAAATTAATGGACTCGCCCACACTTCCCCTTCCGTGCGGCTGTGTCGATGACTCATTCGCCTCCTTGCCTTGCACATCGTTCCATCGATTCTGCGTGGGCGTCAGAAATTCCCGTATCCTTTTTAACGACTTTATAAAACTCGACATGTTTTTATCCTTGCTCACTATCCGTCTATAACACTGGTACGCTTGCTATTGCTACTCCTTCATGCGAACATCCCGGACGAGCCCCCATTTAACCTGTTGTGGCCCTAGGGGTGGCCGACCACGGTTCGACAGACGTTGTTTCGTAACGCGTGCCCCAGTAGTGTGGGATTCAGTGTTCGCTCCTGCCGGTGTATTAAGCAGGACGGTGATGTCACGTAGCAGATAACAGATAGCACCAGTTAAACAGAACACCGTGAGATTCGGTTAACGGTACGGTTATATAGCTTTATTGCTCGTTACTAGTTCACAAATAATTGCTCTGCGTTCGTATGGGCCGCAGATGCTATCACCACTAGATTAATATTGACGAAGTAACACGTCGCCGGTTTCGTCTTCCTCTCCTACGTTCGTCTCCTCTCCTCGCGCAGACCTAGGCAGTCTCCAAGGTGT